CTGTTCTCATCTTGACAATGACCCTGGCTGACAAAAAGCGCATTTATGCGCGCGCGATCTGTTATTATTAGGATATTAAATATTCGAGCGAGTTTAACTGAAATTGAATTACGTATTAAAAATTCATTCAGAGAAGTAAACAGATAATAATTCCGTCGTTTATTTTCATCCCTGAAGCTTATCTCGCGAAAAACCTTTCAACTTTGATGATTCGCAACCTAAATATTGTTTTCGTTTTAAAAAAAATAGATTAATCAAATTAATTTCAAAGAATACGTTTACGAAATATTGTTCTCGTTTTGAAAAGAATAGATTAATCAAATTAATCTCAAAGAATACGTTTATGAAATTTATGTAAATTTATCGTGTTTTATCAGCAATTTGTAATATCTCGCGCTAACATAAAAAGGAAAGGATCCTTGGAATTATTTCGTTAGTCATCCCTACATTTGATTCTCGCTCTTCTCTTCCTTAATATGGACCGGAATGGAACTCCGACGCGCACGAGAAGAGTTAATAGTGTTCCGAGCAAAGAACACTATTAACGCTCCCACTTGTACATGACGCATAATTAAATTGTGTTTATGTCTGACGTAATGATCCCGGCACATCGCGGCTGCATTCCTTGCTCCGGAAAACTAGAAATTTTCCTCAACACGTGCGCGCGCGAAATGCTTTTTCTTATTTTATTTGAAGGAATCGCATTTATATATATATAAATTTATATATATATAAACGTACTAACATTTATGTAAAAAAAGAAATGTAAAAGAAAATTAAGTACATTGTTATAACATCAGATAATGTTAGATGTAAGTGAAGTTTATCTCAATAAAATTTCCGTCCAAGAATAAATATATCTGACTAAAAATTTAATTTCTAGTTTTATTTCCAAGAATAATGTTTCAAGAATAAGACTTAATGCGTCAGAGACTGAAAAGTTACAAGGTGTCTGATGATACTTTTATCGAAGAGAAATGCATTTTAACTTTCTTCATCAATAGCTCTCGTTATTTATATATATACTTTTTTATACTCTTGCAAAGCTAATATTCCAGAATTACAATATAATTGTTAAGACTCTTTCTAAAAGATCTACAGTTCTTGATACAAAAGAAAGAGAAAATATTTATCAATAAACTTCCAAAAGAAAAAAAATATGCCAGATTTTCGAAAGAAATTTTTGATCCATAGAGAGTCTTTTTGAAACTTAAAAAATATTTGGATAAAAGCTAGAGCCACAAACTTCTATATATATATATACATATACTAGAATGCTAACAGCCATGTGACAGATAGCCATTTACCATTGGGCAGTATATAACCAGGCTGTCAATCGATATTTATTTTTGAAGGGAAAGCTGCAATATTTAATATAATTTTTATATTAATATTGCAGCTTTCCCTTAAAAAATAAATATAGATTGACAGCCTGGTTATATTCTGCCCAAAAATTGTAAATGGCTGTCCTGGCTTCACCCGTCACATCGCTGTTAGCAGTCTCTAGTGTATATATAGTATCTAGTATATATATAGAAGTCCGTGGTTATAGAGCACATATTGAAATATTAAAAGTGAAGCGTCAATTTTCGAGAAATTGAAACAATCGACGCGGTAAGTCCAAAATATAGGATTCTGCGTCCTCGGATGTATCTTGGATTTCCGAAATTTCGGGGCATCGTTATTTGTGAGAATTTATTTCTCGAGTGAGAAACATCGGCTCGTTCTTCACTCAATTTGCACAGCATTCAAGCGCGTCATTGAGCTATAGTTCTCTTTCTCTCTCTCTCTCTCTGTCCGGTGAGAGCGATATATCGAGACGATGAAGTAACAACGCGGGTCGAAGTGTCATCCGATGTATCGAGCGTCGAAAAGGTTCGATTTAAAGAGGATATACGGCGCCGAAAATATTGCGATAGCGATTTTCTGGAACTTTTAAAGATGGGTTCCAATTCGAAAATCTGAGGATAAGATAGTCTACTCGATAAAGGATCTATCGAGAAATAAGGTTTTCCAAAGAGAGCAAAGAGAGATGTCGATAGAGAATCTGTGGAGTAAATAATGCATGCAAATTTTTGCCTTACATCGCGGTTTAGATTTTAGATACTGTGTGTTTCTTAAATATTTCCGTAGCAATTTTTATTACTATATTATAGGTAAACAATAACTATCGGACACGATGCGCTTCCGGCGGAATAAAGTAATTGCATAGCGTTGCAATTTCGTTATCGCGTTGAAAGTGATAACGAATTGAGGTAAACTTTATATACATTTTCTATTGCAAACAATATGGGGTAATATATGAACAAGGGTATATTAATTTCGAAAGTAGTTTGTTTAGACGGGATATTTTATGTGGTAATTTTTATGAGTACACAACAAGAATCTTACACACACGTACACGCAAGCGCGTAAAGTCTGGATACTGAAACTTGGATTCATGAATATATATATACTGAACTTGATTCCCACTCCTATTTGTTTCCGCTCACCTGTCGCTGTTTACGAGCGGTAATGTCGTTTCACGCTATGCAATGCTCGGTATGCGCGATAATTTATTGCACTTGGTTGTTTCGAGCCGATAGAGACACGTAAAACTCACCGAAGTCGGAAAACGAGTTGAAATATTTCTTCGTCCGTAAGAAAGTTATTTTTATGGAATAAAATATCCAATAATTCGAGAAACGAAAAATTTATATCGGCGCATTATTCCGTAACATAGTACAAATTTTACTTATCGTATACAATAACGTTTAATAACATTGAGTAATTTTAATTCGCGCGCATAATTAACGCTTGTATATTGAAAATTATATATTATAAAATCACACGTATAAATTATTATATATGAAATAATATGTAGTTATAACATTTTTTGATTGGACTTTGTCGACAATTTATTTGATAGATAGATTCATCCGACAGAGATAAATTTCTTATATCTCTCTTCAGATATATATGTTTACAGTTCTGGCCGCAATGTAGGCAAAGAGATAATATCTATTTATGATTAGAGTCAACTCCGATATTGGAAAAACTAAGAGCACTTTATAATGCGAGTTTCATTGCGTAAAAATATTCGCATCACAGAAAGATAAATACGCGCTTTGCTGTTTATACTTTTTTATCTTACGACAAGTAAGTTCGCAATTTGATTAACAAACCTTGTAAAAAGAAAACTCATGTCTTTTGATTCAATTCCCCCGTAAAATTAATGTTGATTAGACTTTTTACAATTCAATTTATCGCGGTAGAATTACAGATCCTCTCTCAACATATATTTTTACAATTTATTGCCAATTCAATTAGAGAAATGTCGACATTTTCCAGCAAAGGAGAGTAATTATATACAACAAAGATAAATATAAGAAATTAATTGCAAAATTAATTACAAATTACATAAAGTTAAATATACAATATCCAGTGTAAAAAAAGCGATATGTGAAGAGAAATATCTCGAGAAAATTGAAGAGAAATATGCAGAGCATAGAACGATTTTTAATTTCCTTATAGGAAAATATAAATAAAATTATCTCGAATTTTACATATAAGTGAGACAAAATATAAAAACAAATAAAATATTTTTGTATAAAAAATTATTTATTTTAATTGAGGTTTCTCTGTCAATACTGTGCGATCCACAGTTTTAATGATATCAAAAGAAATAACTGTTCGAAGAAAGAAGGAGACTGTTGCCGTTTTACCGGCAAAGGTGAACGACATTGTCTGCTGCAAGGTGGAGGCCTGTATTCATGCCGCGGATTTGTGGGTCAACCAGAGTAGAGTGGAAGGGTGAGTCGTTTGACCGCTACTGCGGCATACGTTCGAAAATTTTTAATATCCTAGAAATTTTTCAGTATTTTCGCGAAAATGCAAAATTCATCACTTTTGAAAAATGCAAAAAAAAAAAAAAAAAAAGGAACGGGGACAGAAAAACTGTCTATAAATTTAAGAGAATAGAAAATTTAAATTATTACAATTAGTGTTTACAATAAAAAAATATATCCCACTTTTTCCTCGCTGACGAGAAAACGATTGCGATAAGTTAGGTAAATATCGTGTGCTGGGTGTTTTTTTTTTTTTTTTTTCGAGCAAAGTGTTATGTCACGCTTATAAGATATTCAATCATAAATGCAGGAATATCTAAAAAATTATTCAAAGAAAAATGGCAGATTCTAATTTTCATTACGCGAAACGATCAACTTTTAGACTCAAGAAATCACGGAAGGGAGAAGTCTGAGAAAGGAATTTGGAATGAATGCTCGATTATTTCGAAGAGTTTTTTTCCTGGTGTTTGCATATTTTCCGATCGCACAAGTCTTGAAATAATTTAAGTATGCATCCGTAGAGAAAAAGACATGTTTTTTTTTCTCAAGAGGGAATACTGGTTCTATCTGGTCGAGAATTCTGTGACGATTTACGTACCATACGTAATATTGACTCGGGACAGAGATACTTTAATATTTTGCACACGGCTCTTATTTCACGGTTAATTCACAGCTCTGACACTCCCTTTTTCTCTTTGGGTTCTTCTTTATTTCGATTGGCCACCGATCGTTCTCTCCTTTCGACATACGTTCATTTTATGTTCGACATTGTCATGCTTCCTTGGCTAATCAACGTCCGCATATGTTAATTATCTCGATATAATAATCATACACACACACACGCGCGTGCTTGCGTCTCATTATCAGCGCTGATTGCTCTAAATGCTTACTTAAGAAAGAACACATCGTAAGATGAGCAAATAGACGAAAACAAAAAAGAAGATAAAAATACATAAGAAAATAATGACTTTGCTGACGTACAGATTTTTTTTTTTTGTAGAATTTTCGTACATCGACAAACTTTGCACTAAAGGAAAGATTTCTGTATAGCTACCAAAAAAAAAAAAAAAAAAAAAAAAAAAAAAAAAAAAAAAAAAAAAAAAAACGACAAAGAGAGAATTGAAGATTTTGTAAATATCGTTAATATAATCTCAAGTTGATGTCGATCGGTGCCGCTGTATTCCTCCAAGCTCCCCATAAAAGTCGCTATGTTTTTAGTTCCCCTCGATACGACTTTGTTCAGATGGCGGTGCGGTGGACGCACGACATCGACAAGAATTCTCGACTACACGTGGCGGAATTACGTACTTTAATATCACGTCGCGCAGCCTGGGAGCGTCACATCACTCTCAGGATCACAGCGGTGATCTTCGAAATTCATCTCGCGTGACGATCATGGGTTTCCTCCTTCGTGTATAAGCCCGACGATGTAACTGTGTGTATCCTAAACACAAATTCAACGAAACCAAATCCGCGCATTTTGAGAGTTACGGTCGTCCTTCGCCATTGTCAAGTGTAATCGACTACCGGCTATAAATCTTTCGCAGACTGTGATGAAACGCGACGTGATCCAAGTACCTAACACATATTTTTATTTAAATATTACCAGTCGTGTCTTGTTGCAGTATTCGAGGTGCAGATAGAAAAAACCAGTTATAAAAAAAAGCCACGGCGGACAAGAATTGAAAAAGGAGCGGCATGTTGAGAGATTGTGAAACGCGATCGATCGTGTATCAAGCGTCTTCAAAAATCACACGTGTCACATCCCTCGTATTCGCGAACGCAGCGTGGATATATTTTCACCGAAGAAGAATATGCAATATAGAGCAGGTAACATTTCGAAATCGTCTTTCTCTCCTTATTTTTTCTTCTTATCATTATTGTTGTCTCTTGCATTTTCAATCTGCATGTTTATTTTTAAACGAGTTTGATCCCATAAAACGAGTTGTACAGCCGCATGTGGATAACCTCGACGTGGCTTCTCTCGCGTGACATAACACGTTGATACGTATATTGCGTGTGTAAATGACGTGTGTACAAAATATCCGATAAATGAATGTTCAATAGATTCAATAAATGCGATACACAATCGACAAGGAAGCGAAAGGATGAGCAAAAATTGTAAAAGAAATTTTTCGCGATTGGTTTCGCAGTTTCGGAGAAAAGTAATTCTGATAACATGCATGTATTCAATTACATATTGCCTATAAATCGATTGGAATGTATCTTGGATTAAGATGTATCCTAATTAATTTAAAAACCTAAGAAACAATACATAAATAATCGTTTTATTAATTTAATAATTATAACTATACATTAGCAATAATAAAAAATTAATTTTTTTTATTTTACTTTTTTATTTTATTAATTAGTTTTTTTAGAATAATTAATTCTAATGCTTTTTATCATCGCGAGCATTTAACATTTATCAATACGTTACAATGTCTTGTAATTGTTGTATACATATTTCGTAGTTTTGAGAGATCAACAAAGACCAACAATAATACCATAATTATTTATGTAGCATATTTCTCGTAAACAAAATTTTTTTATAATCGAGCGTAACAAATGCTTCAACGCCTACAAGTGTTCGATATATTGAATAGACTGGACGTAAGCGCGCATGAATATTCAAAATTATTTTCTTCGCCCGAGATGCGAAAAAATTTAATCTACATCTTTTGCTCCTTCCTCTGACTTTCTCGTCGATGATCGTATCGCGATTCACCAGACACGTTGCGTTGACAAGCATTTGGCGCAGGCGTTAAGAACGAGATGGCTGCTGTAAGTTGAGTGCTAAGCAATCGCTAATAGTAGATTATTTGCAGATACCGCATCGGAAAACGTATCAGTCTCCTTCGTCGAGAGAAAGGAACGAAACGTTTCCCCAACCGTCTAAAGCACCCTTGACGAAGCTGAGGTTGTTGGTACCCGGTGCGCTCTCGTCAGCCACGGATTGTGCACGTTCCACACGAAATTCATTCACATGATCCACCTCGAAGCCGCAGGGAAAGATTCATTTGGACACAATCGCTTATATCGACCGGTGTTTAGGATAACCGGGACGATTGACCAATTAAAGAGTTCTATGTTCAACTGGCCAATAAGCAATATGTCCAATTGAATGCCACTCGAAGCCGCGATATCGTTTATAACGCGACTGAACGCGGCGCGGAAGCTGAATGAAACTCGAAATCCCAAAGTCGTTCCTGATTACGAGCAGTTGGCCCCGAAGATTCTCTGTATAACATCATTAAAAAGTAACCGTACTTGTCATTCAGCCCTCGAATAAACTTCTTATTAAGTCTCGATAAACAATTTTTTTTTTCTTTTTTTTATGACTCACGTCTCCTCGCCAACTATGCCGCAATGTATATGTGTTAATTGTGCCGTCAGTAGGTGAGCATGTGTAATAGAGGTGCTATTAACGGTAATGTATCTTCATGGAACTGCATATATTAAATTGCTTGCCCTCTGAAACTCTTGTCAGTATGCCAGCGGTGTTTCTCGATAACGCGATCCGTCAATTAATAGTGCACGACAATAATGTTGGAGGAAACGAACGGCCAGTATGTTTATCAGTGAGCGTAGTGTTACTATGTATGCGATGCAATTGCCCAAGTCAGAAACGCCGCAAACTCGCTGCCAATTATTCAATGGCGTCAAGGATATTATATTTGAGCTATGCCTTCACTTGCAGAAAATATAATAGATCTACTGATAAAACTGGATGACAGTTTTATCGACATTCTACATGTGCCTTCTTTTAGCATTATTCCTTTTATGATAATAAAAAACCAAAGATCTTTCATCAGCATTGAATTGTTGAAGTATAGGAAAGTTAAGATAAGTTAAGATTGTGAATAATTTACTCGAGGTGTTAAAACAGAAATCGATAAGAATTGTGTGTTGGACGAATTTGGAAAATCTTGCGTCATCATATAAGATTCTTGCCTTTGATATCCCATCTAAGTTCTTTTAAACCCTTGCGTTTTTTTTCGCATCAAAGACATATTGTATGACTATGTAATTCGCAAATTATAACTATATAATGCTATGTAATATATTACAACGTTATGTAATTTAGATCATCTTATAGTTATATATAAACGCTTAGCTCCCTATGTTAACTCAAAGATACGGGCACTAAATGTACTAGGCAAGAGCAAGAAACGTAAGACTAACCTTTAAGCAGTGGCAACTGTTGGAGCTCTACGTCTTGCGAATTGCGATAACGGGAGGAACCCTGCGACTTCTTGGATTTCTTCTTCAGGGATCGCTTGGCGAAGGGGTCTATCCGGTCGACGAAAGTCCCTGACGACATTTTGGCATTAACGGAGGCACTGTAAGACTTTATCCTGGTGATGTGTCGAGGCTCTCAACGAGGGCTGTAGCGGCTCCTGCGCCTCTTTCTCCTGGGTATTTCCAGATAGCGAAGCGTCTCGCGACTAGAGACGAAGATCACCCTCACCCCGAAGAGGCCGCATTCCGTGCACGATGACGACGACGAATACACTGCACTTCACGAGAAAGAAAGGAACACACTGATACACGATACACGTGTGATGGTCTTGTGTCGCATTCGTTCGTTCTCTCCCTCTTCTTCTTCCTTTAACACGATTCACTTTTGTTCATTCACTCTGCGATGAAGGAGTAACAAAGTGAGCTCCGCCGAGAGCGTCCGAGGAGCATAGCACACACGCCCGGGGAATTTTTTTTCCTTTTATTTTTTTTTTTTTTTTCTAATCGGTGACGGTCACGGCGTCGTCGTGGATCCTATGAACGATGTCACAATTTGCAAACCCCGATCGCGCACCGGCTACCACCGGGAGGAAGGGGCGCGATGATCTCTAGGCGTTGTCGCACACGCGGACGCACTACCGTGTCTCCGTCCTCTTCCGCTCCCACCTACACTGTGTAAAATATATACGGCGTAAAACGACGACCGGTAGCCGCGGGTCCTCTTTGCAGGAGAAAAGGGAGAGAGGGCTCTCCTCGACTCGCCCGCGTCGCAAACGACGTAGGGTGGATTCGATCGACGACGGCGGCGCCGGTCGGTGATGGGTAGCCGCTGCTGGTTCGTTGGTTAAGTCGGTTGATCGGTCGGTGTTGAGGTCTCTCCTCTCCAACGATATGCGTAGAGCTGAGATTAAGCGCACGCACGCACGCACGCACGCACGCACGCACCGTGCCGTCGTGCTCGAGTCGAACTACCGGCCAACCGAGAGACAAAGTGAGAGAGGAAGAGAGAGAGAGAGAGAGAGAGAGAAAGAAAGAGAGAGGAGAAAGAAAAAGCACCGTTACGAAATAGAGAACGATTCGACTGCGGCTGGTATAGCAGCGCACGTCCGTGTAGTAAGTATGGCCGCGGATAATGTGGCCGCGCGCACACGCAGCGGTATATACGATATCCTGTCTGGAGGACCTTAACACGGATATATAATAATCCGCACGATCGGGGCGTTATATATGTACGCGCGAGGACGAGACTCGGGTGTCGAGTCACTGCTACCTGGATGTCCCTTTCGCGCGGCGGCCGTCAAACACCACCACTCGCGCCGCCCGGACGCCCGACGACGTTAGGTAGACTTGTACGTTAAGAGCAACTCGTAACGCAAGAGCGCTCGGCCGCCATCAGCTGCTCGCTGCGACGTAGGGGCCTCTCTCATCTTCCGGCGGAACGTACCGAGACAGACGCGATCGAGTCAGGCGCCGAGAGCCGCCGGGACGTGGCCCGACATCGCCCTTGTCGTCGCTGCTGCTGATTCGCGTGTGCCTCCACCTCCTCTTCGCCCCCTCGGTTCTTTCGTCGCCTCGTTCACCCGCTTGCTTTTTAACACACTGTGCTTTATCGCGCGCGCACACACCTACCTCTATATCCCACCGTCGAGAACAACCGGACCGTCCGATGATCGCGCGAAGCCGACAAAAAAAAATGACCGATCCTATCGCACGCGCGCTCACCTATCGCCGCCCTCTTCACTTATTGAAAATCCGTCAAGAGAGGTGCCTTGTGTGCCTGAAAATAGTAATGCGCGCTCGGCAATCATCGGCCGGAGATGGCCGAGCGTCGACGGGGACGTGCGAGCGCGCCAGATGGCGCGACATCTCACGCGCACGCGCCGCGACACCGCTCCCGGCCAATGATGTGCGCCGGCGACGCGTC